GAAATGTGTTGAGTTCTTGTATGACAGCGTGAGTTCAAATCCTGTCGGTGGCTAATATAACATCTAATCTAATAAAATCTATTGTTTGACAAAAAAAAAAAATTGTTGACTTCCTTACTTCCAATCAGGGTATATAAAAAAAACTATTTTGTTTTTTATAATAAGAAAAAAAAAGGCTCCTTACGAGATCCATTCCTTAGTTGCGTATAAATAAGATTTTAAGGTAAATAACATGCATGCTTGCTTATTAGGGTTCTAAGACCCATTCTCAATTAGATCACTTTACTACTTCGTTGAACAATTTTGCAAGATTTCATTGATATATATATATATATATATATATATATATATATGCGCGTGCGCGCGCGCGTGTGTCTATATACACACACACACTTCAACACTAATAATTTTTTCTTTTTCTTGCCACACTTGATTTCAGTTGTCGCTGTTAAGAATCCTATGGATGCTTTGGCTATTCTTCGAGCACAAAAAGGCGCATTTGATCTTGTTGTTACGGACCTCCATATGCCTCAGATGGATGGGTTTGAATTACACAAGCATGTTCGTGATGAGTTTAAGCTACCTGTTATTAGTGAGTTTCATTTTTAAGTGAAAAAATTAATCTCTTAAGTATACTTTAGTTTTAGTCAATACATGTCCAACTCATTTTGTTTAATTCATTTCTTAATGCAGTGATGTCCGCAGATGACAACGATAATGTGATACTAAAGAGTTTAGAGGGCGGATTTGCTGATTATATGGTAAAGCCTGTGAGCAAAGATGACATTAAAAATGTATGGCAGTATGCTGAGGCAGCTAAGAAAGGTAAATCTGTTGTTATAGAGGAAATAGAAGGTGCTCCAAGAGAAGCACCTGGTGAGGTGGACAATGGAAGTAACTCTGGGATGCCTTCGGATACTGATGAGGAACAACATGAGAAAAAGGCCGAGGCAAAGGCGAAGAAGGCAAAAAAGAGAGATAGGGAAGGCGATAATGAGGAACGCATGGTTGCACCAAAGAAGCCAAAAGTGGTGTGGACAAACTCACTTCACAATCAGTTTCTATTGGCCATTAGACACATCGGTTTGGACAGTATGTGACATTTTCTACTGCCAATTCTCATTTTTTCTTTCCTAATTTTAATTTTTGTGTTTAAATACATACTTACGTTGTACTGACTAATGTAATTGGTTTCATGCAGAGGCAGTGCCAAAGAGGATTCTCGAGTTCATGAATGTGCCAGGCTTGACCAGGGAAAATGTGGCTAGTCATTTGCAGGTCTTTTCCACATTTTCATCTATTTTTATGCCGTTTTCTTGTTTTATTTTGTTTACAAGACAATATATATATATATATATATATATATATATATATTTATGTGTGTGTGTATGTGTGTGTCTATATATATATATATATATATATATATATATATTCTAAGCTAGTGTAACCTAAGGAAGGGATATTTAAATTTGAGTACAAGGGGGCGCACACACTATTATGATCAACTGGCATAATTAACTCATTAATGTTTGGTTTCCATTTCTCTCAGTCGTAACAAAAAGATTAATGAAAGAAAGAGAACTTATGTGTGTGTATGTGTGAAGATGTTCAATTCTTGCAAAATAACACAAAAGAGAGTTTTGCATAGTAACCATGTATTCGTCTAAAAGTTTACATATTAGAAATAATAATGGAATGGTACGTATAGTATTAAATCATTTTTTTCTTGGTTTAACTAATACGACACCTTCCTCATGGCCATTAGGTACCCAAAATAGCAAATGATAATCTCATATTTTGCAATGGTCGGGTACTTAGTGGAACTAGTACAATTTATTTGGCTCACGAAGGATTACTCAATAAGTTTTAAGATACCCGGCCGTTTGCTATTTTTGGTACCCAATGACCAAACCCTAGTAGCAAAGAGAAGTACGAATTTGTTGCACGGTAACAAGTATTCCAATATTTATCACAAAACATTTGTATGGGTCTGTATATGAACTAGAAAGATTATGCTTAATGATCAAATTGTTAATGATGGTGTGTCCATATTTATGTGAATTTGCAGAAGTATCGCATGTTCTTGAAACGAGTTGCTGAGAAAGCTAGACTTTCCAAGTGTTTGTCTGAGAGGGTATTCAGGTCAAGCTTTGCATTTGGCCACCCAGGACTGGTCTTCAACAGTATGGAAGCAGGAGACCAATATTCACAGTACCTGAAATTACAACAACAAATGGGAGCATCTCCAATCAATATTGCCTCTGCATTTCAACCATCCTCAGATGGGATTGATGGAAATACCATTAATCTCCTTGGCTCGATCCAATACCCTAATTATCAGCAATCTTCATGCAGCAGCACCACCATGAGATCCATGCCTCAACTTATCGGTTCGGGGCAGTCCCGTCTGCTGAACCATATCACTCAAGCTAATCTTCTCCGCCATCAACCATGGCTTGGAAATGTGAATCATCAGCTGATTTCTCAAGCAAGTCGCCGCCCAGGGGTTTTTGGAATGCAACAACTGATGAACAATTTTGGATCAAGTGGATGCATATCTTCTAATGCTGCCAATACTACTGGACTTACCACCAATAATATTATTACAAATAATTTGATCCAAATGTTGCAACAAGCAAGGCAGCATGGAATTTTCACCAATAACAACCCATTCAGCCACAACTTTGGCACACCAGGAATTCAGAACAATGTTACTAATCAGCAGCTGATTGGTAATTTTTCAGGAACCCAAATGATGAACCCTAATGGCAGATCTGAGCTACCGGGAATACTCAATAATTTCAATGGGACTGGTGGATTTTCATCAAATGGGTTTAACTTCAACAATGAGACTATCAATGGCTTGACCAATAGGGTTCGAAACGTGAGTCTGAGTGGTACTACTGCACCAATGGCTACCTTAGGATGTTCTTCATCGTTGTCGCCTTCTGCTGGGATTGGGACTAGCACTACTACTTCTAGTGCATATCAGTTTCGAAAAGATTTCAGTAAGAACAGAGAAGATCAGCAACAAAATGTTTCAGTGTTGCCACCGCCAGCAGAGAATACCGATGATAATAGCACTACTACTCCTACATTGGTCAACAAGAATAATTTGTCTCCTGGACAAGAAATGGACAAAGCTCTTGATGCTTTGATGATTAGTAATCTTTTCGTGGACCAGCAGAACAACTATCAGCCTCCTCCTTCTTCTCAGGTACATATAAAATCCTAAACCCTAATGATCCTTCTTTTCTTTTCTACTGTTTTCTCGCCAAATTGCCCGCTTTAATGTTTGCAGCAACAAGGTGGAGATCAAGATCAACTTCCTCCCGACTTCTCTAGTTTCTTATATCCAGTTGAAGTGCCAGACGCTACTCCGAATCAAATGAACCCTGCTGTTGCGGACCAAGGTCTGGACACTGCCGTGAACAATGTTTCCGACCCTTCTCCTGACCAGGTCCCAAACCCTAACTCTTCTGGTACATACTGTGTCGAAGAAAATGCACCTAATGAACAATCTTGGAGCCAGGCATGCCTACTTCATTTCATAGTTTATCACATACTCTCGTGTGCACACGCATATTTACTCGATCACGACATTACTAATTATATTGCTTACTCATTTTTGTGGACCAGGTTTCAAACCCTAAATCTTCTGGCCCATACCATGTTGAAGAAAACGGACCTAATGAACAATCTTGGAGCCAGGCATGCATATTCATTTCATATTTTAAGCACATACACACACACGCGCACGAACACACAAAGGATTCCATCACGATACTAATTATATTGTGGTTGTGTGCAGCAGCAGGGAGGTGATCAACAAGTCCTCAACCCTGAATTCAGCGGCAATGTCTTTGAATCAGAGGACTACAACATGTTATTTCAGACAGCACTCCCTTTTCCGGCAAGTCAAGAATTCAATTTATAGCTATCACTTATACGATTTTGACATGGTATCTCTGATAAGTTTTGCTAACCAACATCTTGGTTATTTTACTTGTGTTTTTTTTTTTTTTAATGCAGGATTGTGACGATGATTTCCTGAATGCCTTATTGGGTGATGGTTTGTAGTCTATATTAAAGGGAGTTAACAGCGAGCAAGAATGATCCAAATCCAATCCTGGAGAAATTTGTTTAGTTATTTTGATTGGATTTAGATTATAGAGTTGGCTTGCTTCGGTGTAATAGTTATAATAGTTTGCGGAATAAATTGAACTTTGGCTATGTAATAATTATGTATTTTGTTAGATAAGTTGAACCTTTGGCATCTAGGTAAGGTGAACTTTGGCTATCTAGCTAAGATGTATTTTGCAAATAAAATAAAGACCTAGTATGCTTTCCTTGTTAAGACATTTGAAATGTTTACTCTATTTCACAAGGAAAAAAAAAACTCAAAGTGTGGCTAGAATGTCTTTCTTTGACGTGTGATGAAAATAGAAATATGATATATCTTCGATTACACATAATCCCGTCTTTTGCACAAATATCTTCACTCATGAGAGAAGATTTGGGCTATGATGGCAAGGCTTGCACGTATAGCAAACAAAATTGAGTAAGGCCCATATTAGCCAAATCTCATCAAACTTATGCCAAAAATTTATGATCTAAAAGTTTGAATAAAATTTGGTCAACTCTTGCATGGTTAGCTTCCTAAAATAAAAAAGGGCAGTCTTGGTCCAATGAAAATACAAAGTTTTCGAATGGAAAATGTTGTGATCAGCAAAACAAATCTAAAAAGAGAAACCAAATGCTAATTAAAAATCTAGGATTGCCATCCTCATCAAATTTTCTCAATTTGCCAATAAAAAAGTAGCCGTTGGAAAAAACTTTCCAAAGCTATACAAATTTCTTTCAATACAAATAGCGTGCATATATCTTGGCCTTTTAAAAAATTAACTCACAACAAATATTTTCTAAGATTTTCTTCTTCTGAAGGATTGAAAAAAGAATCTATTAGGGTGAGATTTCGATCCTCCTCTAGATTTTGATTCATGATTTCTGGTCGTTGTGCAGCTTGCAAGTATCTGAGAAGAAGATGTCCTTCCGATTGCATTTTCTCTCCATATTTTCCTCCAAATAATCCTCAAAGATTTGCTTCTGTTCATAGGATCTATGGTGCCAGCAACGTTGCCAAAATGCTCCAGGTACATAATCCTACTACTCTAGAAACATAATCAATTCATACATACATACATGATAGATTTCTTTATTTATTGTTGTTATAAGGGATTCAAGCGCGTGGCAACATAATTTATGAACTTAAGAGAAATTTATCTTATATTAGTGAGGTGATTAACTTTAATTTTTCCTCTTATGATTCCTCAGCAACTACCAGGCCATCTGAGAGCTGAAGCAGCAGATACTTTGTGCTATGAAGCCGAATGTAGAATACAAGACTCAGTGTACGGTTGTGTTAAGACTATTTCCCAATTGCATCAAGAAATTCACAACGCAGAATGTCAATTAGCGAAAACACGAGCTGAGATTGCCTTCATCAACTCTGGCGGCGGAGGAGGAGGGCAAGAACATCAAGTGCATCAAACGCCAGAAGTTCAGTCCGACTTAAGTTTCTTTCCGGACCAAACCGAAGTTGAGGCAACCCTATTTGGCTCTTCCTCCAAAGCTCCTTGGTTTATTTGATTCTTTATTGTATGCAAAAGAAAATAAAGGTTACCAAAATATTGATATTCATTTCATTTGTTGATTCAATCCAATGCAAATTAGCTACAAATTGCATTGTATCGTTTTCCATTTTGTGTACCGGATGTTGTAAGATTAGTTCGGATTCATGAATAACCAAATACACTGCCTCGAAATATTACCTATTTTTTTACAAGACGATACTCCAATTACTCTAATTTAGATGACGGGAGATACAAAATTGGTTGAATGGGGGACATACACATTACTCCGAAGCAACATTATGTGTATGATTTTAAAATTGGCTACTGATAAAAGATTTGAACCTCAATCATGAGGTAGACACACAAAGACTAAAATCATAATTGGTTAATGTACTATCACTTGTTACAATTCGACTTTGTAGTTTATTAATTGTTACAATTTAATTAGCACGCAAGATACTTCAATTTATCCCCACGTATACTACTCGTGACAATTTAAATTTCACGAGTTAAATCACGACAATTGAAATTACATGAAAAATTGTACAACTCCACGGACCAAAATCATGCTTAGGATCAAATTGAAATTTTAATCAACTGAAGCCCAGAGGCCCGAACGTGAAAAAATAAGAGCCCAAAAAAAGAAAAGGGTTAAATATCCAGTTTGCCCCTGATATTGATTTTATTTTTCTATAGTCCCTCCATCCAATCCAAGACCGTGCCTCCATGTCCATGTCATCAGAAAGGGCCAAGTTTACAAATAACAAAAAGTACAGGGCCCTTTTCTACAAATATCCAAAAACGTCGTTCTCTTTTTCCTCTACTATTTATTTATTCCACTCACGTGGGAATTCGTTAAGGTCAAATCGAAGAAAGTATCACCTACCTCCTTCACATCCATCGCTCGCTCGCTCGCTCGCTCGCTCGCTCGCTCGCTAGGGTTCCAGTCTGAAGCTCCGTTGCTTCCAAAGAGAAGGTACGAAACTCTCTGAAACCTGAAGCTTCATTCGAATAATCTCAATTTTCCGTTTGGTTTCCGAGAAAGTTTGAAAAGAAACCAAATTCTTTCGTGATCTGGTTATGTGATGCGTTTCTAGCTCAATTTGGTATCTTTCGTGCCGTTTCTCGGAAAATAAATGGAGATCTGATATGTAGGCTTTCTGTAGTGGTAGATCTGACTGTTGGTGTTTGTTTCTGATTTCTTTGCTTAATTTATTTGAAAAAATTGTGATTTTTTTTGTTATTAATTTGGATTTGTGTGTTCTTACATTCTTTTCTTTGGTTAAATTTGAGACCGAGATATTGTTTTAGTGTTATTCTTAGCTGGATTTAATTTTTCTTGTGCTAAATTAGGTTATGCACACCTGAAGTTACACCGTGAATTTGTTTGTAGGCATTGGGTTTTTTTTTTTTTTTTTTTTTGTTTTTGTTTCTGTATTTATGATATTTCTTGTGATTCGGAACTTGGTTAATGTAATTGTGAATTAGCGGTTCTGGTATAAGAAAAGACCCGTGCTTTGTGAACATAACATGGTTATTATATCTTTCATTTAAACACCGTGTTCTTTTTTGCAATTGAAAGAATGTTTGGCGTCGGGTGGTGTTCTCTGAAATTATGTGGCCTTTGTTTATCTAATAATTTAGTGTTGGGTTTTCTTGTTGTTTGTTATCATATGCATACTCTATGATAGACTGGTCTTTTGCTGCTCACGTGCAATATGAAGTGTGAAAGATTACTTTCATAATTGCTGACAGATTATTCCCATTTATGCCAGGAAATGAGGCCGATTTTTTGCGGGAATTTTGAATATGATGCTCGACAGAATGAATTGGAGCGGCTGTTTGGTAGATATGGGAAAGTTGATAGGGTCGATATGAAGTCTGGTGAGTACACTTTTTAGTTCTCTTCGTCTCTGTACTGTGCTTATTTCACTTGTGGTACCAACATTTAACCCTCTCCCACAAATGATGCATCTGTTCTCCTCAAAAATACTCAAAGCATCCTCTACTTCACATGGCAAAGCACCATGAAGCTGGATAGTCAACTCAGATTTTATATGAGATTTCGTCCTCTAGTTTTGATCCTGAAAGAGTTATGAATAATTTTATTTTATTTGAACTAGGGAATTGAAACCCAAAATGAGGACTGACTTCTAAACTCACACAGGCGAGCCATATATTTATGCTTCAAAATTTTACTGCACTTTTACAGCTTGGATGTGTGGTAAGATTTGAGGTGTGAAAGTGATTTTAGCAACTTTGGTAAATAAATAATTTCTAATTCTTTTGGGATCAAAATTAAAGGATGAATTCTAATACAACATCTTCAAAATTTTAAATTTCTTTATTTCCGGAATTGACACGAATGATTGTAAACATGTTCTAGATTCTGAATCGTGCATTCCTATTTCACCCAGTTTTGAGTTGGGTACTTAAAAGCAACTTTGTCTAGATTTATCATGCATTGAGGTTCTTGGTATACTGATTTGATTTTTGAGGTTTGAGGGATGAACATCACTATAATTTGTTACTCTGTTCAAATTATTGTCTGGGTGAGGAGTCTGTTGGAAGACAAGAAAACACTGGATTGAAATTGTGCATGCATGTAACCTGCAGTGAAATAAACTTTTAGTAACAATCATTTAGCCCTCTACGAGAAGCAAAACTGGTTCTTACTGCTGAAAGGCAACTCAACTACAGCATGTCTGCATCTGTAACCGTGGCACCTCCAGTACGCTGTTTCATCAGCAGTCCGGCCGAAGAATCATCCGGTCTGCATTTCTCAGTGGCAGCTGTCTTCCTTGTTGAGTTCCTGTGGGGGTTCCGGATACGTTTAAGAAAAAGCATGTATTTTTTGACGCATAAACCCCCATACTCAACATTTTCTTTGACGCAGGATTATCTTGGGATATCCATAATCCTCCAGGCTAGTGGATGGGCTCTTCAGAATTTCGTTTCTTGCTTGTGATGAGCTTCCTCTTCTTGTTTTCAAGAAGAGTCACTCTGATCTGCAATTGCACTACCGCCATCCCACGTTTCCAGTCACAATTGCCTTTCATTCCTCACGACCTTCGCCCAGCCCTCAATCACAATTGAAACACTGCCAATCCCATGGACGGGGCAGCCGATTAGATGGAGAAGGCACTCTCTTTACATTGACCCACCATGAGACATCCACTTTTGGATTCTTGTCCCTTGACATCATTTAGTTCATAACGCAAGGTCTGTTACTAATTTTATTGGTCACTTAGTTTATAGATTTCCCGGAGGTTGCCTCACTGTTTAATTAGGATAGAATCTAGGTGGTTTGTATATTGTCGAAAGGAGCAATGCCGCCTCTTATTGAAGAATCCTTGTACGGGGGAAATCTTACCTTTGCTTGGCAAAAATACATGGCATTTGTTGCCAGTCCATAATGTTGTACTTTACTTTTTTACAGGGTTTGCTTTCATCTATATGGAGGATGAGAGAGATGCTGAATATGCCATTCGGGGACTTGACCGAAAAGAATTTGGTCAAAAAGGACGCAGGCTACGTGTCGAATGGACAAAGGTAGCAAATGTAGGCCATTTTTATCACTATTTAGTTTTGTCACTGTTTGTTAGTTGTTTTTTCAAGTGTGTCCTGGTTTTAGCACTTTTATGTTTTGTATTGTAGCAAGAACGTGGTACTAGAAGACCTGGTGCATCAAGAAGATCTTCGACTAATACAAGACCTTCAAAGACCTTGTTCGTCATAAATTTTGATCCATATCACACAAGGACCAAGGATTTGGAGAGGCACTTTGATTCATATGGGAAAATCGTCAGTGTAAGGATCAGAAGAAATTTTGCATTTGTTCAATATGAGTCGCAAGAGGATGCTACCAGGGCATTGGAAGCTACAAACATGAGGTGGATATCCCCGTTCTCTCACTCTCTCTCTCTTCCTTATCTTTGTCCATCTCTGTTTTTTCTTAGTTAATGGGTCATCTTGATTTAAAGTTCAATTTTGGCTGATAATGTATATTTTTGCAGCAAGTTGATGGATCGAGTTATATCAGTGGAATATGCAGTTCGTGATGATGATGAAAGAAAAGATGGATTTAGCCCTGACCGGAGAAGTCGTGATAGGTCTCCAGACAGAGGTCGTGATAGAAGAAGGTCCCCAAGTCCCTACAAAAGAGAGAGAGGTAGCCCTGATTATGGTCGTGGCCCTAGCCCTGGCGCCTACCGGAGAGAGAGGGGCAGTCCTGATTATGGACGTGGAGCAAGTCCTTATAGAAGGGAGAGAGTAAGTCCTGACTATGGCTGTGGGCGCAGCCCGAGTCCATATAGGAGGGACAGGTCTGATCATGGCCGCGTCTCTAGTCATAGTCCTAGAAAAGAAAGGGTGAGTGCTGACCTTGTTCGTGATCGTAGCCGTAGCCGTAGTCCTTATGGAAGAGAGAAGATTGGGGTAGGCAATGGCCATGGTCCCAGTCGGAGCCCATATAAGAGAGAGAGGGGTAGTCCTGAAAATGGTCCCAGACGTAGTCCATATAAGAGAGAAAGGGATAGTCCTGAAATTGGCCGTCTCCCAAGCAGTAGTCCATATAAGAGAGAGGGCCAGTCCTGAAAATGGTCGTGGCCCCAGCGGAAGTCCTTATGAAAAGGGGAGGGCCAGTCTGGAAAATGGTCGCGTTGCAAGCCCAAATTCTCCGCCTGAAGCTAGGGACAGCCCCAACTATGGAGGGCCTGAAAGCCCCATGAATGAGAGATATAGCAGGTTTGAGTTTCAATCCCACTAACCTTGCTGGATTATTAACCTTGTTAATTATCTACTCTCAGCTTCTGTTGTTTAACACTTTTCTTTTGTTAACTGCAGCCGTTCTCCACAAGCTGAGGAGGAATGATCCTGAAACTTGACTTATGTTGTTCCCTTGAAAACTACCGCGGAATAAAATCGTAATGCTACTTTTGTAGTTTCTTGTGGACTTTCTTATTTGTAGTATCCGCAGTAGTTTCTGCTCAAAACTTTATGGTGGAACTTATTATT